CCCTGGGGTAGAGCAGCTGGGGTGCTGCCAGATTGGTCCCCGCAGCGCCGAGGTGCAGCACTGCGGGGACCAACCCAGCAGTGCCCCAGCTGCTCTGTCCCAGGCGTTCTGATTCAGCCGCTGCTGAAACTGACCAGGGCTGACTCCAGGAAGCCCGGGGCAGAGCGGCTCTGCCTCTGGCTTTCTGGAGTCAACCTCTAGTCAATTTCAGCAGCGGCTGAATCCGGGACAGCTGGGGTGCTGCTGGGTTGGTCCCGCAGCCCTGAGGGGCACGCTACTGGACCTACCCGGCAGCACTCCAGCTGTTCTGCCCCCTGCTTCCCGGATTCAGCGCTGGTCAGTTTTAGCAGCAGCTGAATCGGGGAAGCTGGGGGCAGAGCAGCTCCAATGGTCCGGCTGCCCGGAGCACTTCCGGGTTCCTGATGGTGCGGGACCATCAGGAGTGCCGGACCATCAGAGTTTTACTGTACTAAGTTTCTCATTTAAAAACAACAGATACAATTCAGTCTTATAAACAGATAAAACTGTTTTTATAGTCTATACAAATGAATTAATGGCTCAAGTCTGTTCAGCCTAAGGACCAGCTTTTGCTCCTTGAAAGTTCTGTGTCTTCAAATTCTGTTTCTCAGCAGACTAACATGTGCAAGACAGACACAGGATGGATAGTGTTCTGTGCTTATGTGGTGGAGGACTTGGGTTAACTACGGCAGAGTTAGTTAAGACATTGTCTAAAGCAGGGGTAGGAAACCTTTTTTGGGTTGGGGACCACTGACCCACAGAAAAATCAGTCGGGGGACAAGTGAGAAGAAAAATAAACCCTCACTAATGTGGCCCTCGACTAGGAGAAAGACACTCCCCACATTCCCCTATCACACCAGAGCCTAAGGGGGCCCAGCCTACTAGATTTTGTGTGCTTCAGCCCCATGGAGGGATGGTGGGGGGCTGAAGCCCCAGCACAAGCTCCCCAATGCTGGGGGGACCCTAAGCCTTGGGGGCTGGATCCAGCCCCTTGGCCTGAGGTTCCCCACCCCGGTCTAAAGATAAAAAGACAATATATAGGAAAGGACAGAGGCAGTATAGAAAGGAATATTGGAGTGGACTGGAAAGAAAAAGGGAAGACATTATTCAGCAATTTCCTTTTGCCACAGAAAACTGTCATGGCTTCCTGGTGTAAAATGGACCCTACCGGAGAATATTTTGAAGAAATGCGTTCCCTGGGGAAAAAAGGAAAACGTGTCAAGTGTAACCAGTGCTAGAAGAAGCCTAGCTGCAAGAATGAAACAACATAAGCACCAAACTGCTTATTTGGAGAAAATGATGTGGATGAAGATATGAACATATATGTCTTAAGAACAACAAGTATCAACTTTGCAATGCGTCATTCTTCAAGACTCTCTCTCTGTTTTCTAGTGTAAGTGTGATTTAACAAATACATTCCTGAGCTGTTTGCTATGTTGGCTGTTGCTAGAAAATAAGTTTCACGTAGTTAATTCTTATGTCTTGTTTAATTAGTTAACTAGATTTAGAATCTGTTATCTGTCTCATACAAGCTGTAGTAAAAGAAATCTAGAGTTGCCAGTTGCCACTGTGTGTCATTTTCTTATTTTATATTACATAATACACATCCCTTATTTTGGAACATCATAGTCACAGACCACAATGGTGATGCCATAAAGTTCCTACTTTACTTCAGCATAACTCAGCTTTCCCAAAGGAACCCCATCCTATTCTGGTTTTCGTTGAATTAAGTGCACTCTTAGCACAGTCAATCTTAGCTCTTTTTGGTAACTTGGAATCAGATCTGTATCAAAATGACAGTGGGAGTGGGGAAAATGAGAGTTAGTTGTAGACATTTCAAGGACATAGTACTTTTGGTTTTCTAAGGACTTGCCTGTCAGAGTTAATAAAATTTTAAAATAAAAAAATGTTTCAGGACAGCTGGCAACTGAGGGACTGCTGCAACTGCAAATGTGAAACATCTATGTAACATTTAAGATTTAGTTTAATAAAATAAGTGTTATTGTGTTTGTATGTATAATTTAGTTCTTACCATTCCTAGTGTACTACTGCTGCATCTGCAGCTTGACACAGGTAATGATTATAAATTAATTCCTACTATGTCCTAAATTAATAAAAATCAAATTATCTAAAAAAAAAAAAATACACAAAGTATACCCTCTTAGGTGATGTAAAATGCTGTACTGAGCTGTAAATTAACATTTTAGTGATCAGATTTGCACTAGGGATGTTAGATATCGATTAATTTAATAATCGTCTAACTGCATCAGCTTTGTGGCTACATGATTATTTGATTGTCCCTTGGGATGGAACCAGCAGCCAGTGTGCTCTCAGCCCCACCCACAGGGAGCCCTCGTCTCCCCACGCAGACTGGCTCCTATCTGCCATCCCATGCTGCTGCCTCTGATACAGAGGCAGCAGCGTAGGGTGGCAACAGCCCCTGTTCACAGTAGGCCTGAATTCCCTGCGGACAGAGGCTGCTCTGGCATCCCACTCAAATCTCTTTAAAACAACAAAAATTTCCAAACACTAAAAATGGCCCAATTATCACTTCCATGTATGAAATATAGAACCACAGAATGGCCATTGTCAATATAAGGAAGCTTACAGAAAAATGGGGTTTCTCCATCTGCATTACTGATGACACCCTATTAAAAAAAGGAACCTGTTAAGTTTGGTTTAATCTTTCAGCTGTGAAAGTAGAAAGAATTATATTGGAAGAGAAAGATGAATTATACTGTAATAATTGAATAAGTTGAAGGAACACTGTTTGTCTCTGAACAGGAAAGAGGAAATTATGATAATGTTGTTAATAGGTATGTAGATCTGAGTGCTAGCCAGGTATACCTGGGGTAACAGGAAAAGGAAACATTAGGTGTTAGGCAGAAAGCAATTAAGATAACCAGGGAGATATGGAAATGAAGATAATCACACTAATCATGTGAAGTTTTGCCTCTCTTTTAATCTTGTTAACTTGGCTTTCTTTTGACTGTATAAATCAAGGCTTTTGAACCTTGCATGGTACTCACATTTTCTGGGTGCATTTAGCAGAGCGGCTTTGCTAATAAACAGAGCGGTCTGATAAATCTGAGTGAGTCCTGTCTGACTTTGACACAGTCATTTATGCTTTTTAAAGTAGAATTACTTTGCTTGCATTGGTTAGTTTCATTTCCCTGCCCATACAAATAGGGTGCTGCTGCCCTTGTTTATTTCCAACAGAGCCCACCCCTGCAGGGCAAGCTACACACAGTATGGATGTTAAATTGCGGGTAACTGACTAATCAAATAGTTAATGCATTGTGCAATGACTATCTGACGGGTCGATAGGGCGTTTCCCCTATGAAGTGTAGAAATAGCCCTACGGCTATTGCTACACTTTAAAAGTGGAAGTGCCACGTGGACTTCAGGGTCAGCTCCCATGGTGGTGTTTCAAAGCAGCAGTGCCGCACGAATCTGGGGGTCTGGTTCTATGCAGCGCTGCCACTCAAGGGCGGCCCGTGAGCCTAGGTGTGCTAGGCAGCTGCCTAGGGCGCCGCTGTCCCGGGCGCCCCGTGCTGACATCACGGCCATTGACGGCCGTTCAGGCAGGGGCACCAATTGCGCCACCCCGCCTAGGTCGCCAGCTGCTGCAGCTGGCCTCGGGCTGCTCCTGCTGCCACTTTCTGACAGAGGCAGGAAAGGGTGGGGGGAACAACTATTCAACAAGCTTGTTGACTATCCCATAAGCTCAACTCTGAATCACTGGGAAGGATAGAGTGGATAGATGATGCTAGGA